GTAATGCATCACGTGCATTGCACTGAAAAATTTTTGTTGAAAGATTTGATAAAGTACATAAAAAAAATCTAATTATATATTTAAATTAGATATTACCTCATACTTATTATACTTAAATTATTTATTTCTCTTAACAACTATAAATATCAAATTCACTCATTTTTTGTGTTCTTTCATTCAAACTACCAAATAGTAAAGGTTATAGGATTTCATTTTTTTCGATTATTATTTTGTCTTTCTTGTTTTTTACTTGTCTCAATACTTTTTTATTAAATTATTTTGATTGTGAATTAAGAGAAAAGATAAATATATCAGTTTTTGGCCATTAGAGATGATATTATATTAATAGAGTTATTGATGTGTATTAATATAGGTTTTGAGAAAAAATAATAATGTTATTTTTATATATCATGTTAAGTATAACATGACCATTTAAAAGTCTTGCAAAGATAGAGAGATTTACATGATATGTTAGAGATTAATTTATTATTTAAATACAAAAAGATATAATCATAATTTGAATATTTTAATATGAAAGAACATGTTAACCTTTATAATTTTTTATAACGGCCAAATAGTGAATTAAAAATTTTCCATTCTAAGGTATTTTTATTAGTAGGATATAGATATCTATATCTATACTATTCTACTTAAAATATCAGCATACATGAAAAACATTTTTCTTCAACTTTTATCCTCTAAAACTATAATTATGTCATCCTTATCCTTCAAAGTTAATTTCATACTATTTTTATTTTCTCTTCTATCCTCAAACAATTATGTAAAGACAATTATATCATATTTTCTAATTTAACCTTTAGACCATTCCTATTCTAAGAATAAATGAATAAATTTATATATATATGTCTATATATATATATATATATATATTGAATTCTATATGTCAATTATCCTTCAAAATTTTAATTTTCTTTTTTATCCTTAAATAATATAATTAGGTCATTTTTATCCATATTTTATATCTATATCTATACTACTTTAAAATATCAACATATCTAAAAAATATTTTTTTTTTAACTTTTAACCTCCAAAAAAATAAATATATCATTTTTTATCCTTCAATATTAATTTCATACTAAACCTAATTAATGTTTTTCGACCCTTACAAGTTAGAACACCCCTTCTTCTCTTGCATATTCACCACTCGGTGAACAAGTAGCCACACCCCCTCTTTTCACCTTTCGCCTCTCTCTCTCGGGTATGGCTTGTCTGCGGTAAAGGATCAACTGCACCTTATGCGGTTTAATGGAACGACGTCGTTTCAGGCATTTTGGATTTTTTTTTATTTCCCAGTACCAAAACAACGTTGTTTTGGTACTTTAAATCAGTATCAGACCTCCTATCTTTTCTTTCTCCTTCTTCTTCACAGCACCTGGTTCTCCCGCTTCTTCAAACTTCTCCATCTTCTTCTCCAGCTCAAACTTCTCCACTATTTTTCCCTTTACTGAGACACAAAGCTTTAGTTGGTATGTTGTTTCTGTTGCTCTTTCTCAGTCAATGCTGCCATATAATCATTTTCATTTCATAAGTGTTACTTCAAATAGTTGTAGTTTTTCTTTCTGGATTTACATGTAAAGATGTGATTTTTAATGAAAGTAACTACTCAAATGACTGCAAGTTTGTTTTGATTAGACTTGTTTGAATATTATAAGTAAGAATAGAAACTTTAGATTTTCTTTCTGGGTGGTTAATTTCAGGGATTCCTCCTTCGTAAATATCTTCTGTGCTATTGCAATGGATAATGGAGAAATATGCAGTATTTAGAATTTCTAGTACAAAAATGAAAAGAAAAAAGAGTTCCAGTGACTATAGGGATTCCATTTGTAAAGAACTGATCTCTTGTACATGATTTTTTTTTACAAAAATTATGTGTAATAATCTTTTGCCAATGAGCGTATCTCATGACCGAAGTGAATGGCGAAGGTGGACTTCAGTAGCCGACCCAAATGATTGAGACATTAGACTTGGTTTGGTTTATCAATCTTTTGCGTACTTTAGGAAAAATTACCAATATTAGCTCTGCCCATGGAGTTTTGGCGCCACCTTAGCCTTCCTAGAGTTTTATCATGCTTGATTTTGTTGTCATGGTTTCTCTATTTGATCTAGTTTCTTTGTACATTTTTTTTTTGTTCTTGTTGGCTTGTTAATGGAATAATGATTAATTTTCTTAAGAATTATGTAACCTTATGTACATGACATCTACTTCCATTTATGACTGCAAGTTCCATCTAATGTCATTTCAATTAAATTTCTTATTGTAGGATACTAAGATGGATGATTTGAGAATTCATGCGACTGATAATATACCTCATATTGGTATGCAATTTGATGCGGAGGAAGATGCTTATGCGTTTTACAATAGTTATGGAGGGTTTGTGGGATTTAGCGTGAGGAAAGATTTCCAGAATAAAAGTTTGAAAAATGGCGTTGTCATTTACAGAAAATATGTTTGTTGTAAACAAGGTCAAAGAGGTCGTTATAAAAGAGAGTGCCAAATAAAGAAGCCTCGAGCAGAGACAAGAGCAAATTGTCAAACTCATATGTGCATATCTTTTAATAGAGAAATTGGTAAATTTCTTGTGGTGAAGTGGGATGACAACCACAACCATCATTTGCACCTTGCTGAATGTATGCATATGATGTCATCCCAACGGAAGATTACCGTAACACAAGACATTAATATTGATATGGTAGCGGATTGTGGATTGTCACTTAAGGCTTCCTATGATCTTTTAAGTACTCAGTCTAGAGGAAAGGAAAGTCTTGGTTTTACTCGTCAAGACTAGAAGAATTACCTCCGTGAAAGGAGGCAATAAAACTTGAGGTATGGTGAGGCGGGTAGTTTGTTGAAGTATTTTCAAACGGAAGCAGTGAAAAATCCATCATTCTATTATGGAGTGCAATTGGATGCGGAGGAGCATATTACTAATATTTTTTGGACTGACCCAGTGATGATTATTGACTATGACAACTTTGGAGATGTTGTCTCATTTGATACTACTTTCAGAACGAATAAGGAGTATCGACCCTTTGCTTGTTTTACTGACTTCAATTATTTCAGGGAGACAGTCTTATTTGGAGCTGCATTATTGTATGATGAAACGACAACATCATTTTAGTGTTTGTTTGAGACATTCTTACAAGCTATGTCTGGGAAATATCCTATTATCATCTTTACTGACCAAGATCAAGCGATGGCTAAGGCTATTTCTATAGTCATGCCAGAGACATACCATGGGTTATGTACTTGGCATCTTTGTCAAAATGCTTTGAAACATTTGTGAAACATATATAAGGATGGTTCTCAAATTCTTGCTCGATTTAAAGGGTGTGTGTATGGATATGAGGAAGAGCGTGAATTATTTAAGACTTGGGAATCGTTGCTTGCGGAGTATAATTTGCATAATAATATGTGGATGAAAGCCACTTGGGCATTGTGAGAGAAATGGGGGCATGTGTATATGAAGAGGACTTTCACTACAGGAATGAGAAGCACCCAATTGAGTGAGAGCTTGAATGTAGCCTTACGGAAGTACTTAAAGTCAGACCATGACATTGTTCAGTTCTTTGTACATTTTGACAGAATTGTGAATGATAAGCGGTATAAGGAGTCAGACTCAGAATACTAAGCTAGGCAAAAATTACCTAGATTGAAGTTAAAAAGAGCTCCAATGTTAGTGCAAGCAGGACAAGTGTACACTCCTACTATGTTTGACCTGTTCCAATTGGAGTATGATATCTTTCAGTGTGCTATTGCGACACCATGTGATGTGTTGGATGGGTGGCATCAATTGGGGGTTCGATTGTATGATGAACATAGAGAGTATTTGGTCGTGGTTAAGGCTAATGAGGAGATAGTCAATTGCAATTGTCGAAAATTTGAAATGGAGGGAATATTATGTGGCCATGCACTTAAAGTCTTGGACATGATGAATATTAAACAAATTCCCGAGCAATATATATGTAAGAGATGGAGAATAGATGCAAGAAAGAGTTCTAGGACAATCTCCATTTTAATGTCAAATGAAGAGAATCCCAAGTTAATGGTGGCGTCACGTTACAGGTAACTTTGTCCTAGAATGGTACAACTAGTTGCTTGTTGCTCTGGTCGTCAACCTACATATTAATTGGTGTCACATGGTGTTGAGAAATTGTTCAAACAAGTGGATAGTATCTATGCATCAATTGTTGATGGTGGTAATGATTCAATCCATGTAAATTTTGACCCAATCCAGAAAAATGTTGACCCAAGTGGAATAGAAATTGTTGACCCAAACTTTCTCCAAGTTAAAGGTTTAAAAAGAAAAGAAGGTGGTTACAAGGGTTGGGGTCGACTAAAATCTTGGAATGAGAAAGCAGCAAAGAGGAAAAAAGGACCTTCTCAACCATCACATATTGTAGATTTTTTTAATTCACTTCATATTTTTATTCACTTTATATTTTTATTCACTTTAAATTTTTATTCACTTCATATTTTTATAAACGTAAGTATTTTTTTATTCCAGGTACAAGGTTTCAATTACCCGTGTACATCAGCATATGGTCATTCGATGTCTTCTCAAGCTTCAAATAGTGTACAAAGTGTTATGGTATGTTACCTTATTATTAATTTTATTGTTTCACATATTTATCAAGTTTCTTTGTCTGATCCCTTCTCATTAATGTAGGATACTCCGACTGATTCAACACATGTTCATTCTTTAAATGATGCTGAATCATTTTTTATGCATGGGGGATACAACTTCTAAGGATGCAGATGGAGGCTACTCAATTTCTTATTTTGTTGAAAACTATTTATTTTTAATGAGACTAAAAGTAGTTGTATGGATGCTTGTTGTATTTTTAATGAATCTAATCTTTTTTTAATGAATGTGATCTTCTTAATGAATGTGAAATTTTTTGATGAATATGATCTTCCAAGTCACAACAATATACAAAACCGACAATTTCATGCAAATTAAACACACAAGTTCATTTACAACACAAGTTTCATCACTACACCATTGCTCTTATAGCTCCACTTCACTAGAATCACAAATATAAGCATCACCACTACTAAAGTGATTACAAACATATTTGACTTCATTGAACCTTCTTTAGCCTCAACACGTTGAACTACATTACAAAGTTCTTCAATTCGTAGTACATTGTCTTCAATTTGTCGTACATTGTCTTCAATTCGTTGTACATTGTCTTCAATTCGCCGTACATCCATCCTCTCATTTGTAATTTTCGAAGAGGGGAGAGTAATAGGAGCCATCCACTTAAAAAAATGATTGGGGTCCTTTGGATATTTGCAGTATAGCTTCCCAGGATTTTGTTCAGATTCGAAAACTATGATAATCGCTCTTTTGCTACAAATGGGGCAATGCATATTGTGATATCTTAACCCTTCGTTGCTTGTTACTGTGCTTGAAGATGTCATTCTTCAACACTAGAAACATGAAAGGACAATTGTATTAAAACTCAACATTATAGCAAAATGAACTTCATTAAAATGTTATTCAACATAATGAGCTTCATCAAAATGATATACAGCCCATTCACCATTCCCATTCCTCCATGGCACATACATGTAAATGGATTGATTTTTTGATTTATTGATGGGGAGCTGGTGTTTGATGAAATGTGAACTTTTGCTTGGCTGTTGTTAGTAACAGTTGAGTTATAAGGTCAAAAATGTAGAGGAGTTTATTTAGCAGCTGGAGGATGCAGGTCAAAATTTGGGTAGGCAGTTTGTTCTTGTGTAGGCAGTCTGTGTTTGTTTAGCTTGAGAAAAACTAGGAAAACAGTGTCCACATAATTGCTACCATTAAAAACATCACCAAAATAAGGTGATTTAGCCTTGTTCAAGCATTTTCACTAATGCTTGTTCAAGCATTTTCACTAAACATAATATAGGGCATATAACCAAATTCACAAAATTGATTGGATTATATTTGTTCTCCAAACTCCAAAGAACTTGAGACAAGCCCATTCCATTTCACATACCACCTCAAGTAATTTTAAAAATTCCAAACATACAAGATATATAGTTTGAATCCTACATATAAAATCTGAAGCATATAAAAAAATCTGTAGCAAACAATGTAGCAGGCTAAAAATTATGAAGCAAACATGAAGCATATAAAAATCTGAAGAAAACATGAAGCATATAAAATCTGAAGCAAACATGAAGCATTTAAAATCTGAAGCAAACATGAACCATATAAAAAAATATTGTTCAAACAATGTAGCAAGCTGTTGTTCCATCTTCTTTAATCCTGTATATAAAATCCTGTATAGTTTGAATATCTATTTTAATTTCCATCTATTGTTCGATTTGTGGAATGATTCCAACAACTTATTCAAATTACTTGAGCATTCCAAACGTGAACAAGATAATGCAGATGGAGGACTACCCAAGCTGACCACAAAAGTGTAGCAAATTTTTTTAAGGCATTTTCATATTCAAGCATCACAATCAAACTTGCCATACGAACAGAACTTCGATCAATATATATATATATATATATATATATATATATATATATATATATATATATATATACACACACACAAACACATGAACAAAACTACGATACGAACAGAACTACGATCAATATATATATAAACACGAACATAACTACGATCATATATATATATATATATACACACACGATCTGAACTATACATACACGTATACACACACACACACACACGAACTGAACAATCAAAGAACCCATGAAGAATACCTGATGTTGGGGTTGGAGGTTGTGATCTTGGTGTTAGGGTTGCAGAGCCTCTCAATTCGTTTAGGGTTTTGGTTCAGTTTGGGGATTTTTTTGAACGAAGGTAGGTTTGGTTTGGTGTACCAAAAATGGCATCGTTTTGGTCTATGATTTTCCCAAAAAAGAAAAAAAGAAAAAATTCCATAAAACGGCGTCGTTCCATTAAACCGCATATGGTGCGATTGATCCCTTACTGTAGACGAGCAGGACCCCTCCCTCTCTCTCTCTCTCCTGCGTATTCACCATTTAATGATGAAGAATAAAAGTCATCTACCTTTGTTCTCCTTCCCCAATTAATATATGTTTCGTTCACATGATTTGACTAAGTCAGAAACCAGCGGCTACTATAACTTCAACAGGTACCTTAGCCATTGGCTGTTCCATTCCCTTTGGTCTCGAATCAGAATTTTGATGATTTATTTTGGTGTTATTCATTTGTGCTTGCATTCATTCATCTGCGAAGAACCCACCATTTTTTAGGCTCTCAGTAAAAAGGTAAAAGTTGATTTGATCTTGGGTATATCTTCTTTGACGGTGTCAACTGTGATTCTGGTGTAATCGACAGCTGTGACTGTCTCTCCAGCCCTGGCAAGTCAAAAAAGGTACAGTCCTTGTCACAGTTTATGCAATTTTGAGTTCTCTATCGTTGTGAACAATAGTGTGCACTCTGGTTTTGCATACAAGTTAGAATTAATTTGTCGAGGAAAGTTTAAGAGTGTGAGAGTGTTTGAGACAAAAAAATCTGCTGAAACTAAGGCTTTTCTAATTCAATTTTTGCAATTTGTTGATTTTGACGATCACCAACTGGGAGAATCTTTCCTACCACTCGATTTTTGGAGTGTTTTTCTTTAATTGTATTCCTTTTTGATGGAATCGTAGAGATTAGTTTTATTCGGTGTGTGTGCATTATTGCATCTATAAACATAAATTTAGATGTATCAACCCCTAAATGAACTCTGCATGGTGAATCTTACATCCTCAAGTTGAAGGCAAGAGATGATTTTGGGATTTTTTTTATGGTCTAGGAAGGATTGCTCTGTTTTTATTTTTTGAAGCAGTGTATTTTTTTCTTGCAATAGCATATGTAGACCTTAGCTCTCTCTCTCTCTCTCTCTCTCTCTCTCTCTCTCTCTCTCTCTCTCCACAAACTCATTGAAGTCCACCCTATAGCCACCAGCTGCAGCCCCACCCTACATCAAACACAATGCACAACAAATGTCTATTAAAATGCCTATAGAAGTGTTATCCATTCCCAATAAGCCAAAACGAAAGTAACCAATAAGTGGTTGATTTCTTTGGTTATTCTAATACAAGTACTTGCATTCATTTGTGCTAGCAAAACTGTTCAAAAAATGTCTGATCTCTTTGGTTAGTAATTCATGTTCACACAGTGGCTAATAGTTTAAGTCTTCCTAGACTCCAAATGATTACAAAAAAGCTGGAGCTATCAATTAAGATTGTGTTTCCGAGGAACTTGTTGGGTGTGGTTCCAGCTTTCCAGGAAATAAAGGTGTTGAGTTCATGATGCTTGGTCTTGGTGGCATGGTAAAACATTTTTTAGTCTTCAGTTACTTGAAATGCCAAAACCCTCTAAAAATTTGGAAAACTAGATTTCTTGTTATTGAAACTATGGTGCATTGGCATCTGCCATGATTAATTCCATGGCATGCAGGGGTATCATATATCAATTCATGCCACTATTTTGAACAGTTGACAAAAGGGCTTCCCAGGGCTCTATAAATGTCTTGTCCTTGCTAATAGAATGTTTATTTATTCAATTACTTATGTCTTCATACAAATTACAGTGCGAAGAGTAACACGTTCACTTGAGGGGTTGGAAAGTTTGGGCACCTTCTAGGAAAATGGCTATCTTAAATGTGTTCATACTCACATTTACATATCCTCGCGATTTCTGCTTAGTGCTAACTTGTGGATGAGTTAAGGTGTGAGCTTGGATGTGGGGTGGTGCATATATCTTCTGATTTCCCCACTCCAATCATGCATTAATATTACTTAATTACTTTGTTGACATGTCCATACTAATATGAACATTGCAATTTTGGGGATGTATTTGGTTAAAATTTTGCGAATAGATGTGACTTATTATACATTTATCTTTCTCTTATATGTCCTATCCTTAGCTTCTTTCAACTTCTACTTTGAGCCTTTGACATGTTCACTACTATTTAAAAGAGCAATGGTTTATTGCTTTTGTGTTGTGATTCATTTCATAATTTCTTATGAATGTGTAGTATATGCCTTTTGAGACCTTAATGCATGTCGATTGCTGGTGCGTGGATACTTGTTCTTCTCTAGTGTGGAACAACTGATTTCTTCTATAACATATTGGCTAGCTTTACATGCAAATTCTTTATTTTGAGTTGTTTAGTGCAATCTAATGCACTTATATATTGAAAACATAGACAGAGTACAATGGTAGAGCAGGATGGAGAAGCCAATTGTAGATAGGGAAGACAATGCATCGCTAAGTTGGATAGAGTTGAAATTTGTTTATTATACATTATTCGGTGTGTGTGTGTATATATATATATATATATATGTACCAAGTAATCTATGTGAAATTTACCCGAGCACATAAATATTTGATACTTGTGCTCATTGTGTAAGTTTTGCTTACTGATAAAGCTAATTACAAACTGTTAAGCTTTTGTAAATTGTATTGTGTTGGTTATGCAGGCGATTCCTTCTATTCTTCTAGCTGTAGCTCTATATTTTGATGACAGAAGGAACAAGGATTCTAAAAAACCAATAGAGGTACCTTCTTTTAAAAGGCACACATACATTTGGTATGCCCTTTTTGGATATGGAATTGAACTGATAATTGGTTTAGGAGCTGACATTTTGACACACTCGCCTCAACTAGTACTCTTATATCTGGTATGATGGTATGAAATTGTAATTTTGTGATCTCCAATACAAAGAAATATTTTGATACAGAAATACCCGGGAAAAAAAATCATTTATACAATTGACTACTAAATAATCTTAATATGTGGGTAACAAATTGTTCTATTTAACTAAAATTTTTACTTGTTACAATTTAAGGTAAAAAAAATTTCAGTTTTATCCCCACTATGCAATATGTCTCTATCCCACCATCTCTATCCTTAATCAGAAAGGGAGGATGATTTTGACCATGTTTTCCGATATAACATCTAGGATTTGGGATTGGGGATTGGGGATTGGGGATTGGTATGCACTTCTGGTTTGGTTGAAAGTTCTATAGTTTACTTTGTTTATTATAGTTCAATAGAGGTCCATGTGTTTTACTTGTTTGGCACAATAATGCAAGTTGCATGCCTTTGCTAAAGTTATACTGAGGACTTTGCATTGGTTACTTAGGTGCAGTTAACTTCTAGCAAAGACTATATGAATCCCTTTGGTTATTGCTAATTCTATATGTTTTTATACATAGATTTGGTGCTCCTCTGCTAGCGTATCTTATTAACAAGTTTTCTTGATCCTGGTTGTTTCGCCTTTGTTTTTTGTTTTTGACATTTTCTTTCTTACATTGAGTTTTGTGAGCTTTTGGTTTAGCTCTCATTAATACTATTCAAATTGTTCTCTTCTTGAATTTAAGTTTTACAGTACTAGGTTTTTGTCATTTTAAATCGAAGTAAACTTTTTGTTTAAA